AACACAGGTCTAAAGCTATGTAAAAACGGTGGCTGAGCAAGTATTTGCTATGTTTGGCTATCAGTTTTCCCCCCCCCCCCCCCAGCCCCACTGTAATACACTTTATAGAATCAAATGTAGAGCTGGAAAGGACCTCAAGAGATCATATAGGTCCAGTACTCAACACTGAGGAAAACCAAGTATATCTAGACCATCCCTGACAGTAACCTGTTCTTAAAAGCCTCCAATGACAGATTCCACAACCTCCCTTGCTAATCTAGTCCAGTACTTAACTACCCTTAAAGTTTTTCCTAATAGCTAATCTAAATCTCCCTTGCTGCAGATTAAACCCATTACTACTTGTCCTACTTTCAGTGGACCCGGAGAATAACTGATCACCATCCTCTTTATCAGGGCCGGCTTTAGGCACTGCGGGGCCCGATTAGAAGGAGCTGCCGCCAAAGTCCCGCCACTGTCTTAGGCGGCAGCTCAATCGTTGCCACTGTCTTTGGCCTTTCAGCAGAGGGTCCTTCCTCTGCGGCAGCGATTGAGCTGCCGCCTAAGACAGTGGCGGGACTTTGGCGGCAGCTCCTTCTAATCGGGCCCCGCAGTGCCTAAAGCCGGCCCTGATAAAGAGGATGGTGATCAGTTATTCTCCGGGTCCACTGAAAGTAGGACAAGTAGTAATGGGTTTAATCTGCAGCAAGGGAGATTTAGATTAGCTATTAGGAAAAACTTTAAGGGTAGTTAAGTACTGGACTAGATTAGCAAGGGAGGTTGTGGAATCTGTCATTGGAGGCTTTTAAGAACAGGTTACTGTCAGGGATGGTCTAGATATACTTGGTTTTCCTCAGTGTTGAGTACTGGACCTATATGATCTCTTGAGGTCCTTTCCAGCTCTACATTTGATTCTATAAAGTGTATTACAGTGGGGCTGGGGGGGTGGGGGGGAAACTGATAGCCAAACATAGCAAATACTTGCTCAGCCACCGTTTTTACATAGCTTTAGACCTGTGTTACTGAAAGAGGGGGAAATAGCCTGGGTATTGTGCATAATCCTTTAGGCTTTCTTAAAGTGCCACATGACCTGTAATTTTCATGTAGGTAGCCACCAGAGAGGAATAAGAGGGAGTATGAGTTAATTTATCATCCAAAGAATTTCCTCCTTTCAGTTGCTAAGGTATAACATTCCCATGTGTTAATATGGGCCCACAGTTTGGAGTTTGAGCCCAGGCAAATGCCATATGAGCTTCAAGAGCAATTTAAAGAACACTTTATACTGCTTGTATTGCCACTGGACTGTGTTTAAGTAAAAACCCTCAGCTTCCTGTCAATTTCTTTAAACTTGCCAAGTTAAGAAAAAATTTAGGGTAGATTTTTAAACATAATGATATAATCCTTTTAAGGATCAGTACATTTGATCTTTATATTGACTCCTTTATGTATAGTATGAACATGTTTTTTGTTGCAATAAACTGTTTCCATCCTTCAACAGTGATCTAGAACAGCTGAGGAAAATCAGACGACGAAGTCCCCATGATGATACTGAGGCTTTCACTGTATTTTTGAGATCAGATGTAGAGGCAAAGTAAGCTAATTAGTTTAAAAGGAAATTAGTTGGCAATTTAAGTAATTTAACTTTGGTTATATGAGAGAATGGTATAAGATATAATTTAAAAGGTTAACTTTATAATGGAAGGGGCAGTAATATTTTCCTTCTCTGTCTAAATGCATTTATATGTGCCCATTGTTGTAGTAACTCGGTACAGTATACAAAATTGAAGGGTCACATTGTATATATCCAAATTGAAATCTAACTCCCCCCCTACACTGTCTTATCATGTGAGATTAGTCTGGATGGATTTCTTCCAGAAGAAATATTGATAAGACATTGCTACTCTGGTGTTAATGAAGGCTTGGGTTATGTCGTCAAAAACTTGAAATTCAAAGCATTTTGTTTTGTAACATATAGTGTGTGGAAATCAAAAGGATTTCCAAATTATTTGTATTTTGTGCAGATCTCTAGAAGTTTGGGGAAGCCCAGAGGCTCTTGCTAGAGAGAGAAAACGGCGTAAAGAAGCAGAGATAGAATACAGAGAAAGTAAGTGTAGTAGGTTTTTTTTTTTTTCCCCAAATGTCTCCAAAATGCCTTAGCAATCAGTGTTAACTTCAACTTCATACTGCCCCATGGGAGAATAACACATCATTCACTTCACCCTTGTATGGGTGTCCAACATATACATATGTTTTTGTTAAGGTTTTGTGGTATAGTGTGGCCATGAGAAATGTGTGTATTGTTAATGTACACATAGGGGGTATATATGATGTGTTTAAATGAGTTAATCTTAACTGAATGTATCCTTGCTTTTATGGATTAATTTGTAGATATTGTTAAACAACCTGAATGGGTTTTGAGCAAAGCTTTTTTCTTTGTGAGAATTTACAAAAATATCAAAACCAGTTCAAGCTTTGCCTTTTATTTGTTTTATGCTATTTTAACTACTGATTCATGATACCTTATCTTTTGTAATTTTAGTCTAATGCTTTTAAAAGTATGTATTCTGATGATCCACTCTTTCCTTTAAAACAAAATTGTAGATTTTATTCATAATGTTACAACAAAACTCAATCATTTCAATATTTACAATAGATTCAATTTTTCTCTTGTTGGAAGCACTGGCCAATTAAAATTCTTGCAGAAGCAATATTAATTGAGGTGATTGTTCCAGTTACCAATTTTAAAATTAGAGGTCTGTTGTAGTTCATAAAAATAAGTTTAACATTGAAAAAACTGAAAGTAAAACAGGGCCTGATCCTGCAAACATATAGCACCTTTGTAACTTAATACATGTGTAGTCCCAATGGAAGGGAGGGGTACATGTCTGCAACTATTTGTAAAGATTGTAAGAATTGAAACTGTTTCTAAGGATTTGAGCCAAATATTGCAAAGTGGGAGCCTGAAAGATTAACAACTAGCAAAAGTTTCCAGATCTTAATGTGAAAGCAAAATTGAATAAAATAGCAGTGGTACCGTGCTGTTATATGGCTGTACATTTACTGTATTAGAGCACTGTCCTTTTGAAGTGGGAATTGTCTATCAGGCTGACCAATATTGTCTCATTATTTCCTTGTATTCCCATCTGCACCAGTTTCTTCTCTCTTGTCTTGTACTTGGATCGTAAACTCTTTGCGACAGGAACCTCTTTTTGCTCCTTTTGTGTGCCTAGTGGAATGGGGTTCTGATCCATGACTAGGGCTCTTAGGTGCTATGGTAATGCAAATAATAATATTTGTGACAGAGCAGCAGTGTAGGAAAAAGGGTTCTGAAGTTGAGGGGGCTGAGGAAAGAATCTGGGGTGAGATCCTCACATAGGCTCTGACCCCTTTACTCCAGGTAAAAGGGCCAGAGCTGCATAAAGGGTCTCTAGAAGCCTAGATCTGGCTAGGGGATGAATCCTTCAGCACAGCAACTGTGGAAGGACAGCTGTAAGGCTACCTTCCAAAGACCCTCTTGCAAACTCTGGCAAATGAGATGTCCGTAGTCAGGAGAGGTGTGTCGGGGCAGGGTCATAGCACAAAGAGCTGTGGAGATTGTGGGCAGCACTGGGACAGACTGTTATTTAGACACATCCTCCCCAGGGCTCTCTGTGTTATGCCAGGGGCTATGGAATATCCCAGAGTTGGGAGGCTGAAAAGCTGGTTTAGAGCCACCATAGTTCCCTTCTCCCTGGCCTGTAGATTGTGTATGGCACCTCTTAGAGATGACCTACAGAATCTCACCCCTAAACTTAAATTATTTTTCAAGATGTTATGAGTCAACTTAGACACCTGTCAGCTTTTTGGTAAAGAAGATACTTTTCAGTTTCAATTCCAGTGCTAAGTATTTACAATGTTATGCCTGGGTTCTGTTAAGAAACAGAGATCCTTGAAGAAATCTAAATTTGACCAGATCTGCTTGTTTAATATAAATACATTTGTATGCAGTAGCAAACTTACCTGAGTTGTGTAAAGAAAAAAAATCTTGAAATCCTGAAATTATTTTCAACTGCTAAGTGCAGCATGTAACTAGAGTTGTCTTATTGCAGATCTGTTTAGAAACCAAAAGCTGTTAAAGGAATACAAAGATTTTCTTGGGGATACTAAGGTAAGAGATCATTTAAATTCCTTTGGTAAAATCACCATTAAGGTGTGTGTGATTGCTTACAGCATATTTCTGAGAAAAAGAATGTGGGAAAAGATGTATAGGCAGCCTTACAAGATTTTGTTGAAAGTTATAAATGACCTGTAACATATCTGTTTTATATCATTCTGATTGTAATAGAATCTTAAATTTTTAAAATACTATTTAAATGGATTCTGATCTGATCGTAGTATGGCCCATTTGCAAGAGCTGGTTTGTGGATCTCCTCCTCTCCCAGATTTCTAATGACAATCTCATTGTGATTCCACTCCAGACTTGTGGCAACTTGCTGAATGTGTACAATACACAAAGTTAATTACATAAAATCATATTGGTTGTTTTTTTCTATTTCATTTTCCCTCCATCTGTTTGAACAAATCTCCTCAGCCTGTTTTGGCTTTCTTGCTTCCCTCTCCCTAAGCAACCTAGTTGAGAGAGCTCCTAACTCCAATCCTGCTGGGTGACACCTAACACTTCTTTCTGTTGGACTCTGGTTCCTCTCCTCACTCTGTTTGTGGTTGCAGTGGCCCCTGGTGGAGGCTGCAGTGCTTGCTTAACCTCCTTTACAGCTATTCCTGCACTGTCTATTGAGCTGAAAAGGGAATTGTCAGTATCATGTGAATAATCAAGAGCTCCACAGGCCACAGTTTGAGAACTTCTGCACGAAAACTAGGTATCTTAGTTATGCATGAGACCAAACTGTAAATCTAGTGAGCTGTCCATGATAAATTACTGGATTATGCAGAGCAATACTTCAACTGTTAACAGGAATTCTAGTACTACATGATATTGTAGGTGTTGTATGTGGTGTACAGTAGACTACTGATAGTCCCTTCATAAACCCAGGATTTAGCTATATTACTACTTCATTGTTCAGTTTAGCAATTTATTTTAGCATTCTCTCATTTCTATATTTAGCCACGCTCCAGCACAGCCGGTATGTTGCTCAAAGGACCAGGAAAGGTGGTGATGGTTGCTATTTGCATGTAAGTTTGGAAAAGTAAATGTTTTGTAAATGCAAGAGTAAAAAATTATATATCCTAGAAATGGAAATAGTCTGTATTTTTGAGTTACAGATCCTAGTGTTCTCTGCAATTCTGCAGCTATGAAATTTGCTGAAGAGCCCACCATTGCCGCAGCAATGTGACCCAGAAAACCATATTTATTTAAAAGAAATTATGGGCAAAATTTTTTAAAATGGGTGCCTAAAATTTGGTTCCAAGTCCATATTTAGGCATTTAGTTAAATAATAGGCATGACTTTCCAAAGTGCTGAGAATCCAGCAGCTCTCATTGAAGGTACTTATAACCTAATAATAAAGCAAACCTGAAAAGCAGCTAAAACATTAGTTTCACTCCCCTTTCTCTGTAATATAATAAAACAAACTACAGCAGTTAGGTTTCATTAAGATTTAATTACCTTTAGGAGATGCTACAGTACAGCTTTAGTGTTCTGTGGAGTATTATAAATGTAAAAAAAACCCGCTTATCAAAGTAAGTGCAGTATCCTTTGTTTTTAAAAACATTACTTTCCACTGTACATAATCTGTAATGGATCACCCTGTCGATAGTAAGAATTAGCAACATTCTTCTCTCTAGTTTAGTCTGTAGACTCAGATCTTAGTTGAAATTAATAGATTTATTTGCATGTCTTGAAAACATAGGTTAGGCTCCTTTTAGGAGTACATTCCTCTATATTTAGACATCAGAAAAACTTGTTCCTTCTTTGATTAAAGAAAGGCTAGTCTTTCGAAGCTGGTCAGCTAGACAATTAATAGTTAAAACAGCAACCAAAATTCTTGAAGGTGAATGGCATAGGCAAACACTTTTTATAGCTCATGCCCTTTCCTGCTCTTGTATGATGTATAAAGAGAGCTTCATGTATTTTCAAACAAGTTTTTGTTTTTTGTTTTTTGTTATAAACTTTAAAAATGTCAAAAGTTTGACTTTTCTGCTTTTGCTGGAGAGATTTCTTAAGGACCCCATCAGTAGAAGGGGAGGAGTGTTGAATTTTTCACAAAGATGATTTCTTCCTCAAGTATTTGTCAGGAGTTTGAGTTAAGTGAAACAAACAAAACCCCTACCTTTAAATAAACCTGATTTGAAAACTATTACTAGTTTTTCACTGAGTTTACCCACAAGAAAAGGAAGTGAAGACTGAATAAAACTTTTTAGAGGAGCACAGTGAATCTTTTAAATAGATTCACTTAATTTTTCTAAAAAGTATGGCTATTTCCTGAGATCCAATGGAAGGTAATAAATGAGCAAAATAGCAGGAACTATTAAGAAAATAGTAATTTATAACCCCAAAAGAAAAAGCTGCAATTTGATGGGAAATATCCCTGAATTTGTTTACAGCTCCTTCTGCTTTTTGTTGAGGGGAAAAAAAGGATCAGGAAAGTAACTTCACTGAAAATTGCCCTTTCCATTATTCAAGAGATTCTATTATTAATTACTGAGTCTCGAGTTTGCTCTGTTAAATAAATGTACAATAACCATGACTGTATGTGTATACGGGGGGGGGAAAGAGTGGCCTATATTCTGCTCCCTTCCTTTTTCTTTCCTGTACCAGAGATTCATGTACAAATTTGGCCCTCCTCCTTTTAATTGAGCACAGCCATGATCATGGCACTGTTTCTTCCCTGCACTCATGACCTCAAAAGGACCCCTCTGCAGATTAGGGGTCTGCAGTAGGGTGGAAGGGATGGATACCTGCCAGGCAGGGGCAGTCGATAGGGTTACATGCATCCTTCCTTCTCCAGCCGTGCAGAGAATCTCTGAGAAGATAATTGAGTAACAGGCTCTTATCTCTTATGTGGTGCTCTTTCAGGGCAATATGAGAGCTGGGAGCTGAGGAGCCGCTTCAGTCTGGGGCACCAGTAGGAGAGGAGGGAACACTGCAGCTGCCTGTTCCATGGCACCAGCCAGAGCAGCAGCTGCCCTGCACTGCCCGGCTCCCGCTTCCTGCCTCTGACCTGGGCAGGGAGAGAAGATGAGAAGGAGGTGTGGAGCTGCCTTGCTCTTTTGCTGCAGTTTTGGGGGGAGGGCAATGCCCTCCATGTCCCCAACTCTGCCCATGGGCTCAGGGCTTCTCCCCCACAGGGAGCACCAGGGCTTGGGATCGGGGCTTCAGCCCTGCGCTTCCTGGCTTCAGCCCCGTGGGGGGCACCGGGGAGCCCCAGGGGGCCACAGACCCCTGGTTGAGAACCACTGGTTTAGATTTAGAAAAGTAAAACAAATTTATTCTATCAAAAGAGATGTTTTAAATGAGTTCAAGTATAAGAGATAAAGATAGAAAAGGTTACAAACAAAAGTTAAATCACTTTCTACTGGCTAAGACATAACTTAATAAGCTAGTCTTTGTTTAAGGTAGTTTCCTCACCAGTCTTCCTTTTCCAGCAATGGCTGACTGGCTCTTAGTCAGGATCCCCACAGAGCCCAAGATGCTGGTTTTTCTTAACTCCTCGGGTGAAGGATAACTTAAGGGTTCTCTGCTGCTGTCTGTATAGTCCAGTAAACCTTTAAAAGTCTCTCTCTCAAAGTTCATTGACCCTGTCTCAAAAGGTAGGAAGATTTCCTGGGGGTGCAGTCTTCCTCCTCCCTCCACCCCCTTGAGATTGTTAAATGATTACAGCCCTGCAAATCTGCAGCTATCCGCAGACCATGTTTGCGGATTGGATGCGGTTACAAATTTTGTATGTGTGCAGGGCTCTATAAATGATTACTTTTCCCCCACTTGCCCTCCCGATGGCTTTGTTTGCCTGGCATGCAAATGTTCTTTTCTTTGTCTTTGGTCACATCTTTCTCAGTTTACATGGGAGACACATTCAGACAGCTGGAACCACATTCCTTTGGAAAAAACCTGTTGATCAGATCCCTCTGACATGCATGGTTTAAATATTCTTGCGTGATGTATGTATGATAAATGAGTTATTCGTTTTCCAGTGACATATTACATGACATCTAGGGATGTAAATACCGTTTAAAAAGTTAACTGTTTTTAAATTATTAAAAATATTTTGTTTAAATGATTAACCGATTAAGCGTCCGGGGCTGCTCTCGCCGGCCGGCACAGCTGTTAATGGTTAAGGTGGGTTAACCAGTAAGACTTATGCTTACTGGTTAACATTTTACATCCCTAATGGCATCTTTGAAATACAGATTATAACAATGATGAGTTGGGGTACACTGAATTGGTCAGGTCAGCTGAAACTCACTGTTAGATACCAAGGAGCTCCTTTCCTTCTGGCATAAGGATGCTCTTGGGGTTACAATGGCTCCTTAGTCTACTTGTGCTTTGTCATGTAGTTCTTTAATTAATAGCTCTCTGAATCTCCCTACTCCATGTTTTCTGTTTCTAACCCAGACGGCACAATAATAATACCTAGATCTTATGTAGGTCTTTTGACAAGTGGATCTCAAAGCATTTTGCATTTGAGGAAAAGGTTTAGCCATTCTGTTGGGTTCTGACATCTCAAATTTGGATGCAGATTTTTGCATAGTCCTCAAGTGTATTGTGTTCCCACAGACAACCCAAATCTGGAATTTGGAGGAGTGCAGTAAAATATCATTAATCCTGGTGGGACACTCCTGTGTATTCTTAGAAGGCAGGAATCCCACAGCTTTATTACATCTTCAGATAAACCGATTGGCTCCTTTTTTCTTTAAGTGCAAAAAATTACATTGTTACAAGAAGTCAGGAAAATGTGGTCATGATTCCTACAGCAATTTGTTTGCACTGCTCATTAGTGCTAAAACTGTGTTGCACTATGGATAGGAAGAACAGCTTTGTAATTAAACAAAGGACTGGGAGCCAGGAGAACTTAATTATTTTCAGTGTTGCTACAGGTTTCCTCTGTGACTCTGGGTTATTTATTAATCTGTTTTCCCATCTGTAAAATGTGGAATAATACTTCCTTAATCTGTGGGCTGTTGAGACTAAATTAATGTTTGTAAAACATATTGAAATCCTTGAATGAAAAGCACTATACAAGAAAATTTATTTAGCATTTAAATAACAAGATTATAGGCACCTTAGGAATTCCTTAGATAAGGCCTTAAAATTATCATTATATTCAGTAATATGCACAATTCTGTATGTGTCCAAGAGGCAGATTTATGGATGTAGAAGGAAATATAATATTCAATGTCTTGGTTTTTGTTTGTTAAAAAAGCACAACTATAGCATTCCATTAACTTTTTTGTTTATAAAGGATTAAAAAGCCCACATGGCAGTGTCCTTTTGAGAGTTCCAATTTTGAACATTTTTTATTACCAGTGATTTAAGAAGTTGTAACGCTAGAAGGGACTGTTATGACCCTCTAGTCTGATTGACTGTATAACACACAGCATAGAATTTCACCCAGTGTCTCCAATAGCTAGTGGGTGAACTAAATAATATGTTTTAGAAAGAAACTTTTATATTTTAGAAATACACTTGCCAATGATTATACTACTATTTATTATTAAGAGCTGCACTCTGGTCCTTAGAAGACACAAATATCAACATGGTGCATGCCCTAGAGAGTTTGTAATCTAGAAAACATGTTTAGAAAGACATAGCACAGTGGGACAAAGGGGAGGAGTTCATTTAATTTTTTTCTTCCTAATGTAATGATTGTTTCTCCTCCAACCACCCCTTTGTATCTTGGAAGGAACTTAAGTGAAACGAGACTGGGAGGTTACAGCTGGCACACTGCGATTGAAGGGAGGCTTTATACAAGAAGGCACAAAAATCTAAGTGGGAGAAAGAAAGAAAGAGAGAGATTGCTGAGGCGTGTGCCATTGTGCCAAGGGTGGCAAGGATGGATTAAAACAGTGGTTTTCAAACTGTGGGTTGCGACCCAGTACTGGGTCGTGGAATGTAAGGCACCGGGTCGCGGCAGCTCTGGTCAGCATTGCCGACCTGGCCATTAAAAGCCCCATTGGTGCTGCTGCCCGGCTAAGGCAGGCTAGTTCCTACCTGTTTTGACACCATGCTGTGCCCTGGAAGCGGCCAGCAGCAGGTCTGGCTCCTAAGCAGGGGGGCCACAGGGCTCTGTGTGCTGATCCTGCCCCGAGCACCGGCTCCCGGCCAGTGGGAGGTGGTGGTGCCTGTGGGCAAGAGCTGAGTGGAGCTGCTTGCACGCCTCTGCCTAGGAGCTGGACCTGCTGCTGGCTGCTTCCGGGGTGCAGCATGATCCGCGGTGCCAGGACAGGCAGGAAGCCTGCCTTATCACCCCCGCTGCGCCGTTGACTGGGAGCCGCCCGAGGTAAGCCCGAGCCCCAATCCCCTGTCCCAGCCCTGAGTTCCCCCCAAACCCAGAGCCCCCCTGCACCCCAAACCCCTCATCCCTGGTCCCACCCCACAGCCCTCACTCTTGCACCCCAACCCTCTGCCCCAGCCCTGAGCCCCTCCCAAACCCCTCATCCCCAGCTCAGTTGGGTCACGGGCATCAACAGTTTTCTTCAACTGGGTTGCCAGAAAAAAAGTTTGAAAACCACTGGACTAAAAGGTCTGACATGTTTACAAATTGGGAAGGAGTTGTGCAGTGTCTTGAAGGTGAGGGCAAAAAGATTGCAACTTTCAAAAGAATAGCTTATGATATGCAATTACTTTAAAAAAAATCATGTTTTCCAAAAATCCTAACTGTATATCCCTATATACTCCACTTAATTGAAAATTTTTTTAATCTAGTAAATATTGCAGAAGATGTGTACACATTCACTGTATGTACTAATCACTGATAAACTGACTTTTGGTGAAATTTAGTTTCCTTAGTTGCTGATGGCCACATATGGTTGTACAAAATATCTGTGATTTCACTGTGATGATTTAAAATACTGAATGTTAATTTTCATATAATAATGCTAATTCAGCTTTCTTCTCTCCCCAATCTTAGAAATGGGTTGAATTTTTTCTTTAAACTACTCGCTTGGGTTTACACGGGTTCTGCAAGCATGTTTTCAGAAGCTATACATTCTTTAGCAGACACTTGCAACCAGGTGAGTAGTGCTTCCGTTGCCCCTGTTTAAGTTAAAGTGATTGTAGTTAGCTTCCAAGGAGGAACGCAGACCCTTGAAACAGTTGTGTTGGTAGCAGATAGGAAGATTGCTCTCAATTTAGAAATCAAGTGGCTGTCTCCTGGTGATGGTTGATTAGGGTGAAAAACTACAGGGCACATGACAAGTAGACGCAAAGTAGCACATTGTGTTTAGTTTTGTGAGGCGAGTTGGAATGTCAGAATACTGCTCTGAGAAGCTTTCTTGGAGCATGTTTTGTAAAATAATGCTGCAAAGTTGGAGGGAGAGAGAGAGAGAGAGGCTGGAGACCAAAAATTGAGCCTTCAAGTTCTCTCTGGCTTTTAGTTTACATTGATGATGTTAATTTGTCATTTCCATTTTTAGAATTAGCATAGCTACAGCTGTTGCATATTGCAGTGGTTTTGCCTCTTTTAACATTTTAGTGGATGTTTTTGTATTAATTTCTGTGGTTTTGCATGCTTTTCATTTGCAAGTAAAATAGCAGGTAACACTTCAGTAAGAATAGCTTTGGATTTCAACAAGTTCAGCAGCCATTTTAACAGTGCCAAGGCTGATCAGTTTAAGAATTTACTTACCTAGACTGTTGTCACATCTGGGAGAACATGCCTTCAAGTGTCAGTTAACTTATTACTAAATAATTCCTGCCTTGCAAAGCAAGGCATTCATATTAGAGACCGTAACATGCTGTGATGACTAATCCATGATAAGGGCACATTTGTTTATAGTATGGGCATGCGATTTTTGTAGTACGTGAATATATGTTTTAGATGCAATATAAATGTGAATTCATTTAAAGAAGAAAGGATAACTAAATAGTTTCTGTCAAGCTGCATGGTGATTTAGGCATAACCTTGTCAGAGAATGATGGGGGCATATAGCAAGCTGCCCTGGTTTGGTGATCCTTCCAGGAACAATGTGAGTTCTGAGTACAACATTATCATTACTTTACTTCGCACTTTTACTCAGAACCTAAGGGTCTCTCCTTATATTGCTGTAGCCAACTTGTCTCTTAATATTATCCTGTTTTGATGTACATAATTTGGTACACAATTAATAACAGAATTATTATTTAACAAATTCATACTGACTCTCTCTAGCCTAAAACCTTGGAAATGGAGAGAATCTGGAGATTCTGTAGCTATCTTGTTTCTGATTAGTGAAGTTTGGACTAATACTTCTGCTGGTGTTTCAGGTTTTGTTTATATTTCAGATATGTAGAAGTGTTACTCTTCCTTTCTAAATTAATAATTTTCCATACCATTGACCATGTATCCGGAGAGGTGGTGTGGTTCAGTGGAGAAGATACAGGGTAGGACTCAGGAGACCTGGGTTCTATTCCTGGCTCTGCCACTGACTTGCTGGGTGGCCACGGGCAAGTTGCTTCTCTTCTCTGTTCCTCTATCCGCTCAGGTGAGGCTCATCAGCTGTGACAGACAGTCCACCTAGGACAGTGGTTCTCAACCACTCCTGGGGGTAGGCAGAGGTCTTTAGGGGGCACATCAACTCCTCTAGATATTTGCCTAGTTTTACAACAGGCTTCATAAAAAGCATAAGCAAAGTCAATACAAACTAAAATTTCATACAGATGATGACTTGTTTATACTGCTCTATATATACACTGAAATATAAGTACAATATTTATATTCCAATTGATTTATTTTAGGATGATACTTTTAAAAATTGCTTTCTTTCTCATTTTTACCATAATAGTGTGCTGTGACACTTTTTTTTGTATTTTTGTCTGATTTTTGTAAGCAAATAGTTTTTAACTTAGGTGTACATTGAGGGTATGCAAGACAAATCAGACTCCTGAAAGAGGTACATAACAGTAGTCTGGAAAGGTTTAGCGCCACTGACCTAGGAAAAGGAAAACTCTGATTTCAAACCGAAGTAGTCAGGCCTGGCCAGCTAGTTTGTAAAAGTGTTTTACTAATCACACACGCTTAGGGCCATATCAAATTCATGGTCCATTTTGGTCAGTTTCAAGGCTGAGGTTTTAAAATTAGTCAGTTTCATGTTTTCAGATGTTTAAATCTGAAATTTTGTGGTGTTGTAGCCATGATGGTCCTGATCCAAAAGGTGGTCAGGGTTAGGGGGTTGCAAAGCTATTGTAGGGGAGTCTGGGATTGCCACCCTTAATTCTCCCCTGCTGCTGGCAGGGGTGCTGTCTTCAGAGCTGGACAGCCAGCGAGGAAGGCTACTGGCTGGGTCCCAGCTCTAAAGTTAGCGCCATGTCAGCAGCAGCATGGAAGTGAGGGTCGCAGGGTATTGAGGGGGTGGGTTATACCATATATCCGGTTTTCCTGGCAATCTGTTGCCCCAGTGTGGGACTGACAGCTGGAGCTGCAGCTGCTGCGCGTGCGGGTGGGGTGACAGCTGGAGCTGTGGAGCTTCCTGCAGCCAAGGAAGGTTCCTGGAGGTGGGTCTGACCCACCCAGGGAGCAGCCCCTGCAGGGGGGAGAGGAAGTCTCATCCCTTCCGATCCCCAGTTCGGACTAGCAGCTGGAGCCCTGCACAGAGTAGAAGCCCCTGGCTGGGCGCCAGATTTCACAGGGGAGATCAGATTTCACAGTCTGACACATTTTTCACAGCCATGAATTTGGTAGAACCTATAGAGAATGCTCTGTAGGTCAGCTTGCTGACCCTGACTAATGGGGAAAGGCAAAGAAGTTTCCTCCTCATACCTTAGCCTGTTTTTTTCCCCCTTTGGTCTAAGTCACATCACATTTCACTTCTTGACTCCTTTTCCCATTTACATGGGGTTAGAGGTGCCCACAGTTCTTTGCCACTCCTTCTGGCATGGGCTTGTAGGTCTTGGAGTTCAAGTTCTTTTCTCTTCTCTTCATACTTCTCTTAACAGAGAAGTATGAAGAGAAAAGATCGTCAGTCTTCCATGTCCTTTGTTGCTATCGTTGTCTTCCCATGCTTTCTTTGCTGGTCATTCTTTTCCCATTTTTATCACATGCCCAGCCTACCTCAAACTTGTGCTCTTCAGCCTATCTATTGCTGAAAGTCTCAAGTTCATCTTCCCCCTAGTTGTCTAAGTAATAAAGTAAAATTACATTTTAAAAAAAGTTAAAAGAATGTTAAGGATGAAACATTAAGCACTCAAAAGTTAGGAAATACTAGAATTAAGGATGCTGATACAACCTTAATTTGGCCACTTTGTATGTGTTATAAAAGTCTTGTCCGGCATCACATAGGAAGAGCCAGGAATGGAATCCGGTTCTCTAGTGGCTGAGTTTAATGCCTTAAACACGAGAGGTAACCTTCTGCCTCACTCATTGTCCATCTTGTACAATGAATATTAGTAGAACAAAGGATGTGATAATGTAATTGAAGGCTGTATCATAACGCATACATATTGAGGGGGGGCAAATCAAGGATACCTGGGTAACCATAGTTCTGGCATTTTCCATCTTTTAATTGTCTGACTTTGCAACATTAATGCTTTTCAATGTAATATTTCAAATGTAATTTGCTAGGTTTTTTTAAAAGCAAGCAGAAATAAAGGAATTGTATCATGTGGAACAATACTGACCTCCTTCATGGATCATCAGCAGGATTTATGAATTCAGGATGCTCAGATCTGCAGCATAGACCTCTACCACTCTTGCTAAAAGAATAACTGATAGCAGTAGAAGGCTGTTATCCGCAATGTGGACAGTCACCAGATGGGTGTATGACAAATTTGCCTTTCTTACCCAGTTAGTTGCTAGATAGCAGAGGAGTGTTGGGAATCTGGTGTCTTGGATTCTATTACTGGATCTGGATGGGAGAGTGGCTAGTGCAGGGGTGGGCAAACTATGGCCTTCGGGGCTTTGGATCCGGGCTGCGGGATTACCCCCCGTGGGGCCCCTCGCTGCTCTGCAGAAGCGGCCGGCACCACTTCCCTGCGGCCCCTGGGTGGGGCGGCAGAGGGCTCTGTGTGTTGCCCATGCCTCCAGGCACTGCCCTCCCCCCCGCCAGCTCCCATTGGCCGGGAACAAGGAACCGTGGCCAATAGGAGCTTCTGGGGAGGTACCTGGTGGCGTGGCAAGGGCAGCGCTTGTGGAGCCCTCCGCGCCTCCTCCTCCCCCCCCCCCCAGGGGACCGCAGCACTTCCTGGAGTGGTGCTTGGCCTGTGATAGGGCTGCTGTCACCCCGGAGCCGCTTTAGGTAAGTGGTCCTGGGCCAGAGTCCGAACCCCTCCTGCACCCCACTCCCCAGCCCCCTGCCTGCGCCTCGCACCCCTCCTCTGCCCCAGTCCCTTGCCCTGAGCCGCTTCCTGCACACCCCCACATACCCCAGATTAATCGTCCTTTTATGCTGCTACTCTGATGTGCAGGGGCCGGAAAAGGGGCAGAGTAGCTCCAGGGAGAATTCTTCCAGTGTAGAAGCAGTATAGAACTGGTGTGTATGCCTCCTCTACATTGTGCCCCTTGCAGCCCCACTTGTAGGGACATTTCAGAGACTTATGTGTGAATTATGGGAGAAGTGACCGGAACCCTCTGACAATTCTGGTCTATACTGCAGAGAAGTCTGTGGGTAACCTATGATGTGAGGTTGCCATAAATTATTAGAGCAGCCTAGAGAGTCTTCTCTAACTGACTCTGAAGGCCACACAGGCTCTGAGACCAGCCAAAAATTAGTGATGCAAAAAGTGTCTTAAAATAATCTTTGCTACTGATCTGCTCAGGTTGTGCCTTGTGTGTGGCATTTCTGTGGAGAGGTGCAGCATAGAATCTTCCCCCTTGGCTGTATTTCCAGTTCTGCCAGAAGTGACCTTGTGCAGCCTTTCATGTACTCCATCTGTAAAATGGGAATGATACTACCAGTTCTGCTGCTTAATATTTAAAGACATGTATGGAAATAGCCTTAAAGACAAGACCTTACAGATGACTTTGTCAAAGTAGATCCATTTTAAGGCCAAACAAATTTGACAGTTTGCCTTTAATGGTATTGTTTACCAATGTATATGCAGGAGAGCATTTCTAATTTTAATTGGGAAATTATCAAGAAAAGTTAAATATTTATCCCATTGGAGAGGAGTCTTTTTTGTTCAAGTATTTATATGTGAGTTGTATATATGGATAAAGATACTGTGGTTCAAATCCAGCAAAGGTATAGCATGTGCTTAAACACCCATTAATGTGATTAAGGGCATGTCTACACTTACTGGGGATTGACGCTGCAGCGATCGATGCACTGGGGGTCGATGTAGTGGGTCTAGTGAAGACCTGCTAAATCGACTGCAGATCGCTCTCCTGTCGACTCCAGTCCTCCATCGGAACGAGAAGTGTAAGGTAAGTCGACGGGAGTGTCTCTCATGCAACCCAGCGTAGCTAAGTCAACCTAAGCTATTCACGTAGCTGGAGTTTCGTAATTTATCCCCATAATGTAGACAAGGCCTAAGATTACTCATGTGCTTAAGGTTAAGCACATACCTAAATCTTTGCAGTAGCAGGGCCTGGATTTATAAAAGACTGCGCCATCAGATTGAATCCTTTCCAAACTATCAGAAAAGTATCAACTCAGACAATCAGTTTTTTCAAGATGTAGGCGCACACAGTATATTTTTATTTTTTCCAATTTAGTGACTTGTTGCAACTAAATGTATGCTTAAGAAGTTGAAATGTAAATGTAGGCTATTTTAATTTTAGTTTGCCTTAAACCTAATGGAGATGAGTATACTAATTGCTATAGTTTATGCATAAACTTCTGTTTGGACAGTTTTTTTTGTTTTTTTTTTTAAATTAAACAGCCTTTGTTTCCTGATTACACCCAGTGGAGAATGCTACAAAAATATTTATACTATTATATTAAACATGTTCTTAACGTCTGTTTAAATTGTTGCTTTTAAACTTCTTGCAGCTAGAACTAACCAGATTTAGGGGAGTTAGTTTTGGATGACATTGTCCTGTCTGGGAGTGGATGTTTTGTGTGAAGTTACTATAATTTGAGCTAATGTGTTTTTGTTTCTAATGCTACATGAAAGAAAACAGCAAGTTGGATCTAATTTTATTTAATCATATTCTTTCAAGTTAGAACTAGTCTTAATATTTTTAAAACTTCCTACAGATGTGTTTTTCCTTTGCATTATGCAGGCTTTGCTAGCATTGGGCATCAGTCAGTCTGCAAGGACACCAGACCCTAGTCATCCGTAAGGCCATTGTCTTTATTGAATTTATCTTGTGGAATAAATAATTGCGTTTCAATAATTATATATGGGCTTAAAATCTTTTATTTCTTGTGTTCAACCCTGTTTTTATTTAAAGGATCTGTTGTTTCTGAATAGAAGATGAACCATAGATTTTCTTTTTTGTTCCACCATATTAATCCAGACAACTTGAATTATTTTAAGTAAAATGGTGGTACTCGTATGTATATCCAATGTTTTAATTTTTTCTAAACTGAAATGAATAACTTCCAGTTTTACAGTAGAAATAATAAGAAAAATGTGGGTTCCTACCAAATTTCAAGAGTTCTAAATGGTCATAAGTTGGCATGTTGTTTTGACATTGTAAGCTACGAAACTTGTATTTCATTTTCATTGCTATTAGGAAGATACATTTTTATAGGCCCTACCACCTTTTCCACTAGATAGCTGTACAGTATGCTGTTCATACACCTCTACCCCGATATAACGCTGTCCTCGGGAGCCAAAAAATCTTACCGTGTTATAGGTGTTACATTGAACTTGCTTTGACTGCCGGAGTGCACAGCCCCGCCTCCCTGGAGCACTACTTTACCGTGTTATAGCTGAATTCGTGTTATATCGGGTCACATTATATCAGGGTAGAGGTATACTTCTGATTTTTTCCTGCATGGATGGCAGGATTTGGGCAATAGTAATGAGACTGCCTTTCCCTCTTCCCAAAAGACACTATTTTTAGGAAGGAAACCCTTTGTTGAGATGGTAACAAGAAGTTCTTGCTATAAACACACTAGTTTTAATTTTTATACTAATAAGGGATTTAAGGTTATGTTCTTACTGCTTCGTAAATTTTAAAGTAGTCTTACTGATATACTGTGGTTCCAACCTAAATTTCAGGGTTTTTTCACCTCTGAGGGCCATCTAGTTACCCTCCTGGATAGTAGTTAAAATGTTCTGTCTTATTTGGGTTCACGAAGTCAGGCAAACTTTTCTTCTATTAAGAATCTGAGGTAGCTTCAACTAAGGGCATGGCTACACTTGCTAGCTAGAGCGCATTAAAGCAGCCCTGGGCGCCCTAGTTCACTACCCATCCACACTGGCAAGGCATGTAGAGCGCTCTGACTCCAGGGCTAGAGCGCTCCTGGTACTCCACCTCAGCGAGAAGATTAATGCTCGGTGCGCCTTGGCTGAAACACTTGGGCATCAGTGTGAATGAGGTGTTGCATTACTGCACTCTAATCAGCCTCTGGAAACGTTCCATAATCCCCTTAAGTCAAGTGGCCACTCTTGTCATTGTTTTGGAATTGCTGCAGGAATGTGGATATGCCCTTTGAAAGCTCGGTTTCTGACAGCAGCCATTACTGTGGAATGGTGTGTGTGAGAGAGAGAGAGAGAGAGAGAGGCGGGAGGGGAGGGGTCTGCTGCTGTCTGAATTTACAAGACAGCATGCTGACATGCTCTCAGCCCCCCAAAAACCCACTCTCTCTCCCCCCAACATACACACAACACACTCCCTGTCACACTCCACCCTACAGCACCATTTGAAAAGCATGTTGCAGCCACTTGCAGGCTGGGATAGCTACCACAATGCACTGCTCTCTGTGGCCATTGCAAGAGCTGCTAATGTGGCCACGCCAGTGCGCTTGCAGCTGTCAGTGTGGACAGATTGCAGCACTTTCCCTACTGCGCTTTACGAAGGCTGTTTTAACTCAAAGCGCTCTACATCTGCAAGTGTAGCCATGCCCTAAGGCTTCCGATTTATGTTTGTTTACCAGATTCAGCCTTCTCAGAATAGGATCTTTTTTATCAGGGTCTCTTTCCCTTCTCAGTCTTTCCCTTTCCCTCAAATTATGCCCTTCACCTGCACCATCATCTCTTTTGCAATGCTGCTAATCAGGAGTGGCATTTAACACACTGATGTATTATTAAGATGCCATTTTAATTTTACCAAAAATATTTAAACCTGCAAACATTGTGGATTTGCAGTCAGCTGAACTATTAAGTTTTATGCTATTAATTTAAAGGAAATGAAATTTGTAGGCTGCACATGAAGATTTCAATTAAAAGCAGCATTGCAAGGCAGTGTATATATTAGCCCATTCATTAAACACCTGAATGAATAAAAAAAATTCATTTCATTAATATAGCCATGGTACATAATATTAAAGTAATACAACTAAATTTAAATAGCCTGTGTGGAGAAGGGATTAGAAAAAATCTAAATTAAATACATCTACGTTGTTTTATATATATTTTTAAGAAACTGGATGTCCTTTTCCATCAGTATTTTCTTGGATTAGATTTGATTTTAGCAACTATATTTTAATTAGCTATCAGGAGCTCTAGTTTATCATTTATCATCAAGCATCTGAATATATTTTTAAAGCAGGCATTTTTTCCTAAACCACTTTTTGTTTTTACACAGGTATGGCTTCACAAATATGCGCTATATTGCCTCCCTAATTAGTGGGGTCGGCATTTTCATGATGGGTGCAGGACTTTCCTGGTATCATGGAATCATAGGTTTACTTCATCCTCAGCCCATGGAATCTCTTCTTTGGGTAAGTCCAATCTTTTTCTATTGGGTTTTTAAACTATGGGTGGTGGGGATGGTTTAATGTAATGAAACCTCAGTATCTGAAATACCTAGACACCCTGAAACAAAAAAGTTTGAATCCTAGTAGGGTGAACCAAACCGTCTGAGGTAGTATGTAGGGTGGAACTCAGTGTATCTGCGTGAGGTTATTTAAACCAATTTTCTCTCTGCTTTGCGTTGACACTGATACTTTAGTCCGTTTTTTAAGAATATGGGGTTGTCCTGGTGTCCTTAGCCAAAAATTTCCCTCTCTCTCCTTATACTGGGTAGTGCATTATAATTTGGTTGGTGGTTCAGTCTTCTGTCTGCCACCTAGAGATGGCTGCATTACAGTTGTAGGTAAAGTGATTCTTGTATGTAAAGTTCTTATGAAGGTTCTATATAAATGTGAAACTGTATACATTCAAAATAAAATACTAGTTTTTTTTATATTTACAGGCTTATTGTATCTTAGCAGGATCATTGGTGTCTGAAGGAGGTATGCAGTATCATGAAATATTTGTGTTGCTTTATTCTTAAGCTGATAATGCAGGCTCAGCAATCTGTGGTGATAGTTTATTAAGCTTTTGCTTACAGAACTGCAAAGTTTTGAGCTCTGTTATTCACAATTTCATTGATGTTTGATATCCAGGAAAACTTCTTCATTGCTTTTAATTTACTTGTGTGTTCTATTTAATCTTCTGCTTCAGGCAAAGGAAGGAAACTAATATTAGACTAAAAGGTGTAAAAAAACTAGGGTGATGTCATGCTAGGAGTCTACTACAGGCCACCTAACCAAGTGGAAGAGGTGGATGAGGCTTTTTTTAAACAACTAACAAAATCATCCAAAGCCCAAGATTTGGTGGTGATGGGGGACTTCAACTATCCAGATATATGTTGGGAAAATAACACAGTGGGTCACAGACTATCCAATAAGTTCTTGGACTGCATTGCAGACAACTTTTTATTTCAGAAGGTTGAAAAAGCTACTGGGGGGAAGCTGTTCTAGATTTGATTTTAACAAATAAGGAGGAATTCGTTGAGAATTTGAAAGTGGAAGGCAGCTTGGGTGAAAGTGATCATGAAATCATAGAGTTCACAATTCTAAGGGAGGGTAGAAGGGAGTACAGCAAAATAGAGACAATGGATTTCAGGAAGGTGGATTTAATAAGCTCAGAGAGCTGATAGGTAAGGTCCCATGGGAATCAAGACTGAGGGGAAAAACAACTGAGGAGAGTTGGCAATTTTTCAAAGGGACACTATTAAGGGCCCAAAAGCAAGCTATTCTGCTGGGTAGGAAAGATAGAAAATGTGGCAAAAGACCACCTTGGCTTAACCACGAGATCTTGCATGATCTAAAAAATAAAAAGGAGCCATATAAAAAATGGAAACTAGGACAAATTACAAAGGATGAATATAGGCAAACAACACAGGAATGCAGGGGCAAGATTAGAAAGGCAAAGGCACAAAATGAGCTCAAACTAGCTACAGAAATAAAGGGAAACAAGAAGACTTTTTATCAATACATTAGAAGCAAGAGGAAGACCAAGGACAGGGTAGGCCCACTGCTCAGTGAGGAAGAAGAAACAGTAACAGGAAACTTGGAAATGGCAGAGATGCTTAATGACTTTGTTTCGGTCTTCACCGAGAAGTCTGAAGGAATGCCTAACATAGTGAATACTAATGGGAAGGGGGTAGGTTTAGAAGCTAAAATAAAAAAAAGAACAAGTTAAAAATCACTTAGAAAAGTTAGATGCCTGCAAATCACCAGGTAAAGAACAAATCATGTCAAACCAATCTGATAGATTTCTTTGATAGGATAAGGAGTATTGTGGGTGAGGGAGAAGCGGTGGATGTGGTATACCTAGACTTTAGTAATGCATTTGATACGGTCTTGCATGATATTCTTATCAATAAACTAGGCAAATACAACTTAGATGGGGCTACTATAAGGTGGGTGCATAACTGGCTGGATAACCATACTCAGAGGGTAGTTATTAATGGTTCCCAATCCTGCTAGAAAGGTATAACAAGTGGGGTTCCGCAGGGGTCTGTTTTGGTACCGGCTCTGTTCAATATCTTCATCAGCGACTTAGATATTGGCATAGAAAGTACACTTATTAAGTTTGCAGATGATACCAAACTGGGAGGGATTGCAACTGCTTTGGAGGATAGGGTCATAATTCAAAATGATCTGGACAAATTGGAGAAATGGTCTGAGTTAAACAGGATGAAG